TTGAAACAGTATGGGAACTACCTTTAACCACAATTGCTGAACACTGACAGGTTTTGGAAATTAGCTTTTGCTGCTGACTTGATACTTTATCTTCATGCATCCTAAAGTTAGAAAACAAAAATTCTAAGTGTAACTGGAGTAAAGTCATTTTAATGTGTAATGTTTTTAGCTATTATGGAAGCCAAGATGCTTTATATACGTCTGGTGCCGGGACAAGTCAAAAGGAGAAAATGCCACTTCATACCCACTATAGTGGCTACAATAAAAAAAAAAGAAAGATATCGATATGTATAGTTAATTGTAGAAAAGTTTTGACCCAAATGCATTATTTTGGGGAAAATAAAATAGTGAGCCACTTTGGCAGAGCCTGACACTTCCTCAAAAACTTAAGTGGACTTTAATAAACACAGATATTCCACAGCTAAATATGTACACAAGAGAAATACAAGTACATGCATGGATAGAAACTTTCACGCAAAGTATAGCTCCATATTTAGAAGAAACAAAAGATAATAACCCAAGTGACTGTAAACTGATGAATGAATAAACAAAATATGTTGCTGTCATAAAACAGAATATCATTCAATCATAAACATGAATGCAATGATGATATATGATTTGCATAAATTTTAAAATGATTACATTAAGTGAAAAAGCAAGCAATAAAAGACCACATATTTTTATTATCTTTTTGTAGTAAATGCTCATAAAATTAAAGTCTAATGTTTGTACAAGGGCAGGAAAAGGAAGAATGAGAAAAGACACAAAGCTTTTTTCTTAGGTAAAGCAGATGATGTAAAACAAGCTTTTGGTGGTGGTAACATATTTCTGTAAAAGTTATAATCATTAAGCTGTATGATTAAAAATTACAAGGTCAGAAACAATTTTAGTAGTTGTGAAGAACAGTGAGTAGGGAAAAGGGGTGACAGAGGAACATGTGAAAATTCAGGGAAAGTGTGGAAATATTTTGTATCTTGACTTTGGTGTTGGTTACATGAGAGTATATGTTTATAACCAAGTACATTGAACTTTATTTAATACCTGAACACAATACCTGAGATTTGTTATATATAAATGATACAATAATATAGCTGCCTCTTAGCAAAAGTTAAAATGGGAACAGTATCTCCAGTCACACACAAATATACAATATTTATTCTTCAAGTTCAGTCTGTAGTTCCAGCAGTAGATTTTAGACCTTAATGCAAGTGAAAAGGTTATTTCTATAGTTCAAGATCCATTTCCCTGCGCAGATGAGGATCTTTCACCTAACCATCAGTTGGAAGTAATTAGTCTCCGATGTAATGGCATCCCCCAAAGCAAATATGACAATAGACTTATATCTCAAGTGACAAGTATCGTCAGTTAAAATCCTATGCTCCTTCACCCCAGTGCAATCATAAGAAAAAATAGGCTTTTTAAAAATCCAAAATACCTAACTAGTACAGTTCAGAACTGCCAAGGTCATCAAAACAAGAAAAATCTGAGAAACTATCACAAGCCAAAAGCCTTTAAAGATACAGAAGCGCTGTGTGATTCATACTATCTATCATGGGTGGCACACTGTCCACAGATACACTACTTTAACTGGAACAAAATGTGGAGAACAGTTGAATAGAATAGATCAACGTGAATTTATCTGTTGTGATAATGACAGAAGAGGAAATTAAAACATTAATTCAACAAATGCTACTGGAACAATCCGGATAGCCCTGTGAAAAGAATTGACCTTAACTAACCTGATGTTACACCATATAGAAAAAATAACTAAAATAAATCATAGACTTAAATACAAAAGAGAAAACAAAATTTCTAGAAGAAAAGATGAGAAAAAAAAAACTCATTGAAATCTTAGGTACTCTGCAGTCTTAACTAGGTACAACACTAAAAATAAGAGGGGAAAACGAGCAAATTCGAATTTTTCAAAAATCAGTGTGAGTCCTGGTAACTAACTGATTGCAGTAGTGGCAACACTTGGGAGCTTGAAGCAGAATTGCACGCTTGGGCTACACAGTGAGTTGCAGGCCAGCCTTCACTATAGAGTGAGACCTTGTCTATAAAATAAATAAAATAAAATAAAATAATAAAATAAAATATAAAATAAAATAAAATAATAAAATAAAATAAAATAAGCTTTCACTTCAAAACACACTCCATAGTGATGACGGAGGAAAAATCTGAGCCTGGTGGCACAACCTATAATAGCAACTCAGTAGACAGAGGCAGGAGGATTTGCAAGTTTGAGACTAGCTTGAGATACACAGTGAGATCGTGTCTCAAAAAACAAAATAACACAGAACAAAATGAAACAAAGCAAAAAGGGGAAAGACATACTATGTATTGGGGATAAGTATTTGCATATTACATACTTGACAGGGATTTGGATTTAGACTATGGAAATAATTGTTACAAGGCAACAATTAAACAACCCAATATTAATATGAAAAAAAAATACTTCAGAAGCAGACCTTGTGTACAGAAGATACACCAACAGTTTATAAGCATTAAAAAATATGTTTACTACCCCTAGCCACTCTTTATGGAAATAAACATTGATACTATACTGTATTATTTCACATCAAATTAAATGCCTATAATATATAAAGGGAAAGAGACACACTTAAAATTCCAGCATTTGGGAGGTTGACGCAGGAGGATTGTGAGTTTGAAGTCACCCTGGGTCTCATCATAAGACTCAAAGAAAACAACAAGAAGCCGAATATACAGAAAGTCTCTGCTGCTTTGGAAAACAGAAAACAGTTTTGTAATTTCTTTAAAAGTTAAACACAAATTGTCCCATTACTCAGGAATTCCAATTTCTACTCAGGAATTTCCACTACTACCAAGAGATAAAAACAAATGTCCATACAAAGATGTGTACACCAATGTTCTAAGCAGCATTAGTCATAATAGCCAACAACTAGAAAAAAAAAAAAAAAAAAACAACCACGAACTTTCTATCAGTTGGTGAGTAGATACCCAAAACCGTATTACCCATAAACTGTAACATTATTAGGCAACAAAAGTAAGTACTTCCATATGCAACAATATGCTGAAGTCTCAAAACTATTATTCTGAGTGAAAGGAAGCAGACTCAAAAGACCACATATTACATGATTTCATTTATATGAAATTTTCAGAATGGGCAATTTTATATAGACAAAGAGTACATGAGTAGCTGCCTGGGCAGGAAGTAAAGATAAAGATGAACTAAAAATGGACATGAGATCCTGGGAGGATCAAAATGTTCTACAACTGATTCATTGTATCAGCTAATAGCTGCATAACCCTAAAAACTTACTAATAATCAATTACATATTTAAATAGATATAACTTATTTAATGTTATTTTTGTAGTGCTGAGGATTGAACCTAGGGTCTCACACATGTCAGGCAAATGCTCTACAACTGGGCATCCCTGGAACCAGTTGATTCTTATGTTATGTAAGTTATCACAATCAAATCGTTAAAATAGGGGGAAATGTGAAACTGGGTGGAGAATATGTGGGAATTCTCTATTATCTTTGCAACATTTGTTTTGAGACAGGGTCTTGCTATATGTATCCTTGCCTGGAACTTATATAGCTATGTAAATCAGACTGGCCTCAGACTCAGAGACCTATCTGCCTCTGCTTCCCAAGTGCTGGGATCAAAGGAATGAAACATTATGCCCAACTTTGCAACTTTTCGATAAATCTAAAACTATTCTGGAAAAATGTTTAAATTTATTTAAATAAAAATCAGAACTTATGGCCTTCAAGATGGTTCAAGAAATAAGCCTGATGAATTTGTGGTAAATCCCCAGTCTCCACATGAATAAAGGAGAGAATCAACTCCTAACAGTTGTTCTTTGACTTGCACACTCGTGCTAGGCATGTACACACACACATACACACACACACACACACACACACACACACACACACACACACACACACGAGAGGGGGGATGATAAGTTAGTAATGGTTGTGGCTCACATCTGTAATACCAATACTCAAGAGGCTGTATCTGGACACACAATAAGATTCAATAAAATAATTAGCATTTAAAAGAAAATGTTCATGGATTATCAGTAATCGGTAGCAGCTTTCTGTGTGCAGAGATATTTTCAAAGAGTTTCTGTAGATTAAAATAAATAAAAAATCTCAATAACTTAAGAACATTTGGAATCAATCTTGATGATAGAGAATATTAACTTTAAACCTCAATTAAGCAAAATTGTGTCTCCCCCAAAGAATTCTGTTCTCATTAATATTTCTGTGTTAAAAAGACTATATTCCACCGAGGGATGGAAAGATAGCTGAGGTCTTAAGAACACTGGTTGCTCTTCCAGAACATCTGGGCTTAATTCCAAGTGCACACATGACAGCTCACAACTGTCTGTAAGTCAGATCTCAGGGGATCCAACATGCACATCATATACAGACACACACGTAGAGAGAATACATATGCACATAAAATAAAAATAAAGGCTAACACATTATATATATATATATATATATATATATATTCCACTATTATTAAATCCCAAATTTCATCAGTTAACTTTTCTCATGATTTGTCTTCTACACTTGGTTTTACCATCTGCCCTGCAAAGCCTAAAATGATCTGGGTTTTTACAAAAAGTTTGCTAAGCCCTGTTCTATACCATAACAGAGAGACATAAACATAATCAGTCATTTTTAAAAATACACTTTTAACATTTTTTTCTAATGCCCATTTGGATATAAAAAGCTTATAAAAGATAATCTTTGCATCGTTTCTGCTGTGGCACTATTTGGAAATTCCCTTTAAAAAAAACCCACATTGTTAGTTTAACATTCTAGCAAAGCCTCGATGTAATTGCCATTACCATGTTATTAAAGTGACAACATCATACCCTGGTATCCCTAAGGTGACCGCAGTTAAGTAGCGATGTCACCAGGGTACAGACGTGAGGTCTCTTAGATAGTGGCTCCTATGGCATCACACCCTGTCCTTAGTATCACTCTGGCACATCACCTCTGCATGGTGTCATGTGTAGCCGCTGCTGTGGCAGAATCCTACTCTGATTCCACTCCGCCGGGATGCCTGTGCTTCTTTCTACTCCTTGGACAGTGGCAGGGAGGGGGAGGGTAGTCAGATGTTCAAGCTCAAAGTAGTACTCAGCTCCAACTACTGCCCTTCCGCCTGCCACTGCAAGTGAGGGCCCGTAAGGACAAGATCTTTAGGATCCCAGAATTCTCTTGCCCTGCTACATTTCCGTTTCATGTGATCAACTTAGCGGCCCACCAACGACCACCCACTCTAGCTCTTCCACACAGTGCCACCAGAAGCCGCTCCCATTACCTGACTCCATTCTCCAGCTGTCATCCTGGGCCAATTCCACCGGCAACTTGACTACGACTTTCTCAAAGGATTCTGGGACTTGTAGTTCCACATTGCTAAGAGCCAGAACCGAGTAGCTTGCAAATACACCTCCAGGACCGGAATTACCTTCAAACTTCAACTCCCAGTAGTTCCGGACCATGGGAGGGGCAACAAGGAAAGCAAGCCAAAGATTGGAGAATCTCTAGCTTTTTGATTGGTTGCCGGAACAGGAGACGTAGAGGGGCGGTCCTTGAGTTTCAGGGAGATCCTGGGAAGGCGAAATGGAGGGGTGTGTGTCTAATGTAATGGTCTGCAACCTGGCCTACAGCGGGAAACTGGATGAGTTGAAGAAGAGCATTTTGGCTGACAAATATCTGGCTACTAGAACCGATCAGGTAAAGCAGCTGGAGGGCCTGTCGCCTAGCTGCAGGCGTCAGTGAAGTCCTACGTGGTTTCCCGGTCCTGACTTGGTCCAAGGCCGCTTCTGCCCTCCTCCCGCCCCCTACACCCGCTCATAGCCTTAGGTTAGCTCAAGACTTGCTGTCCAACTCTGGCCCCTTACAGTTTCTGGTGTGTGAAGATTTTTTTTCCTGTTTGTGTGTGTGTTGTTGTTTGGCTGGTTGGTTGTATTTTTTTTTTCTTGTTTGTGTATGGTTTTTTTTTTTGGTTGATTGTTTTTTCTTTCTTTTTTCCTGTTTCTGTGTGGTTTTGTTTGTTTGTTTGGTTGGTTTCTTCTTCTTCTTCTTCTTCTTCTTCTTCTTCTTCTTCTTCTTCTT